AGCTTTGTTATGCCAGTTGACCTCGATGTCCCCTGAAAGCATGGTCCCCAGATCCCTACCCCTGCTACTCTGTCCCTCAAAGTGTTTGCTTGTACTCAGGAAACTTCTTAGCTTTGGTTTCGTCCAGTTGTGCTGACTTCCCCCGTAGTGTGTGCTGTCCTTTGTGATGCCTTCCTTTAGTCAATGATCTTTTAAACTGGTATTTTCTCTTTCTCTGCCAGGATATAGACACCATATACACATAATCTGAAAGCACCACTTTCTCTTACTTGCCTTTTCCCTTCATTTTTATTTTCATACTACACGGGGGAAAAAGATAACTAGATTGTTAACTTCCCATTGAATTTCGCCTCCTAACTGACCTTGCAGCCTCTCTGCAGCCCTTTCTGCATGCCAGCACCAAGTCAGCCATCCTAACACACTGACGAGTCTATCAGTGAAGGCTTGCGTGTTGCTATGATGCTGAACAGGTTTCAGCGGAGCTTCCAGACTAACATGGACTAGGAAGAAAGGCCTTGAGATCCACTTTTGAAAATCACCTAATGAAAACCTTGTGGATCACAATGGGCCTATCTGCAACTGACCACGGGGATGGTACAGGACCAGGCAGCATTTTGTTCCACTGTGTATGGGGTTGCCATGAGTCAGGGGCTGACCTGACGACAGCTAACAACAACACTCCTCACGAGACTGGCCCAGGGTTCATTCCTTGGTCAATCCCAAAGGTCTGCTAAATCCTCTAAGGACATGTTATCTCCAAATGACTCAAGTAATGTGAAAAGCATCAAGAAATAGTCTTTAATCATTTTTTAATACTCATGAAGAAAGTGCTTCTTAGCTCAAGTAGATACACGAGACTAAATGGGCAGCTCTGTCCGGAGGTGAGATGAGAAGGCAGAGAGGGTCAGGAGCCGGTTGAATGGACACGGGAAATCTGGGGTGGAAAGGAGGAGTGTGCTGTCACAGTATAGGGAGAGCAATTAGGGTGACACAACAATGCGTGTATACATTTTTGTATGAGAAACTAACTTGAACTGTAAACTTTCACTTAAAGCACAATAAAAAAAAAGTAATCATTTTTGATTAATCATTTACAAAGACAGTTACTATTTTTAGATCTCAGGAAACCAGGTGGAGAAAAGTTCAGGACTATATGTCTGCTTCAGTTTTCCTTGGGTTCTAATGAGACAATAAAGGCAAAGCCCTACATGGAATGGACATAGTCGATATTCAGGACACTTTCTATGTAGCATTTCTTCCTGCACTGGGTTCAAAATGCTTAGAAATAAAAACCCCTGCTAGTCTCAGGAAACAATAATTATTCAGAAGACAAAAATGCTTTGATATAGGAAAGTTCTCTAACCTCTGCAAGCCTTAGTTCCCCCAGCCTCACAGGGCAAGTATGAGTATTAAATGAGATGATGTATCAGGAAATCATTTGTAAAGCCTACGATGACATTAACATCTTGGTCACAGTTACAGGAGTGGCTGATGGCATTATTTGGAGAAATGGAGCTGAACCTTGCTGAGCATACACTCGGGGTAAGAGAGGGTAGCCAAACTCTAGGGACAAGAGGTCGTTGCAAGTTTACAAAGGTTTTTAGCTCCTTTTATGTAGCCTTTCTTGGGTTTGCCAAAAGTCTGTTGACACAATTAGAGTGACTTCATTCTGGTTGTTTAACTTGTTCACTTTACAGTGATAAACCACCGGTTGCAGTTGAGTCGACTCTGACTCATGGTAACCCCACGTGCGTCAGAGTAGAACTGTGCTTCACAGGGTTTTCAGTGACGGATTTTTCGGAAGCAGATTGCCAGGCCTTTTTTCCGAGGCACCTCTGGGTGGTCTCACATGTCTAACCTTTCAGTTAGTAGCCAAGTGCCTTGACTGTTTGCACCACCCAGGGGTACTTAGGTACTTAGATGTTTCTGTTTAACTCTCATTGTAAATATCATTTAGTTCTAAATCAGCTGTCTAAGACAAAAGTACAACTTGAAAAACGTTAGTGTCTTTAATACATACAGCAGGAGGACAAGCTTCCATGTCTGTGGCTCCATCTCCAATCATGACTATTTTCTTAAAATGAAACTTTTCCTTTAAAAGTTTAATAACTTTTCCTTTCCCACCGGATTCAGCTGTTGGCTGCATCTCATCAAAACCTGCATATTCACCTTAAGAGAACAGAAGAACAGTTAAGACAGAGTTAAAAATCCACAGCATTATAATACTTGGGCCAGCTCTAGTAATTATGTAGATGACAGGATCACTTCAATGTCACTGAGAAGGCTAAAAACGGCCCTCAGTGAAGTCACCCGGCTGAGGTCCAACACCTGTTGCTTGGAATAAACAAGCTTTATTTTTAAATTATAAATCCTTCTTGTAGAGGGTGCTATACCAGTTGCCATGGAGTGGATTCCAACTTATGGTGACCCCGTGTGTTTCAGAGTAGAACTGTTCTCCACAGGGTTTTCAGTGGCTGATTTTTCAGAAGTAGATTGCCAGGCCTTTCTTCCAAGGCACCTCTGGGTGGACCCAAACCTCCAACCTTTCGGTTAGCAGCTGAGCACATGAACCATTTACACACCCAGGGACTCCAGAGATTACTCTATTAGGTCACAGACACCTTGTGGTGAATTACCTTTATCCTCTTAAGCTTCCAGTACAGTAATTCTCAAACCTTGCTGAGGTGGCAGAACACCATGAAACAGTAATATATTAAATTTAAAATAAGTTAATATATAATTGCATCTAAGGCGAGATTCCATCTTACTTTAGATCAGTCATTGCCCTTCTTACAGTAACTACGCCACTCATCCTTCTCTTTGTTCAATGCTCTCTATCTCTAGACCCTTTGAAAATGCCCTATTAACACATTTTTAAAATGTTAAATTCATATTATTTGGCTTTAAGAATTTCAGCCACCCCCAGAAATAACTGGAGACATCCTGAGATGGCATAAAACTAGAGCTGTGGACAGAGAGAAGATCTGAGGCTTCCCCAAGACCAGCTACACTGCAGTGACCTGTTAACTCATTAACTGTCCTTCATGAACCTAAATTGGTTCAAATACATGAGCTACCAGTTACCATCAAGTTGATTCCGACTCGTGGCAACCCCGTGCGTGTCAGAGTAGAACTGTGCACCACAGGGTTTTCAACGGCTGATTTTTTGGAAGCAGATTGCCAGGCCTTTCTTCTGAGCCACCTCTGGGTGGGCTTGAACCCCCAGCTTTTCAGTTAACAGCCAAGCACGTTAACTGTTTGCACCACCCTGGGACTCCCAAATACATGACAGTGCTCATAAAATCGAAATATGGCATGTACCAAAATGTGGGTTATGTAGGAATTGGCATTTGGCTAACTGTGGACATTTGTACACAGATAGGTGAGTACTGCTGAAGCTAGGACAGTTGATAACCAAAGTCTCTTTTGCAGAGCAAAAGATCTCAGTTAGAAGAAAAGTTTATTTCAACATTTAAATCAGATGTCACCTCGGTTAAGTTGCAAGCCATCAGATTATTTAATGCTGACAGTGACAAGAAAGGGAACTGTTAAAATGTATGTCTTACCATTAAAGTAGAATTTCAGCCTATTGGCAAATACGTTGGCTGCTGGGATACTGAGCTTTGAAGCCACATGCTCCACAATGCTCCGAAAGCCACCAGATATCAGGAAGACCTGAACGTTTCGCTCTTGCAGGCGACTTACCAGCTCCCTGCAAGAATAAAACATAAAATACCAAGCACTGATTAATACCAAAGAGAAACAATGAAATGTGAAAAAGAGCTTAAAATATCTCTTTTTCTCTGAATATGTTTGCCTGAGTACATCTGACAATATTGCCTGGTGAATTAATGTTTTATATATATTTTTCTAGAGTCCCTGGGTGGTGCAGTTAATGTGCTCAGCTGCTAATCGAAAAGTTGGAGGTTCAACTCCAACCAGAGGTGCCTTGGAAGAAAGGCCTGGTGATCTACTTCCAAAAAATCAGCCACTGAAAACCCTAGGGAGCGCAGCTCTACTCTGACACAAGTGGGGTCGCCATAAGTTGGAATTGACTCTCTGGCAACTTTTTTTTTTAAAATACATTTTACTATCTCCACCAGGGGAAGACAGCAGACATGGGTAGCGGTACAGACAGACAGACAAGTGCAGAGGGAGCCACACAAGTAGGAGCTCTCAAGTTCAGATACTCTCAGGAGAACATACCCCCAAAAGCAGATGCTAGTAGGGAAACAGTGTAACCAGAACTGGGATCCTCTTACCTTATCCCGGGGGTCAGGTGCGGGGGGTGCTCTGCTAACAGCCTTTGCACCTGCTCCCTGGAGGGCTGGATCAGCGCTAAGCGCTCGGTGAGGGCGGTCTTAAAAGGCACCGCCCCACCCATGGCCCGCCTTGTCCTAGGAGGAAGACCCAACAGTCAGGCCAGCCCAGTCAGCCATCCCCTCCCCAGGCCCTCACAACATCCACCGTGAGGCAGCTGCTACCAGGAGCCCCACTCACACCCGACATGCTGCACTGCCGTGGGAGGGACCGAGGAATAGATTCTGGAAGGTTTGCTGGAGAATGACATGAAGTCTGGGGGCTTTGTCTCCACACGTGCACCATCTCGTGAACTGAGAAAGCCACACATCCTAGCCGCAAGTTCCCTCCTTGGAAGCCATGAGCTTTTGTAAACCAAGAAAGAACTCTCAAGTCTGGAGCACTCTTGCATCAGATGCAGCTGAAAATGAAGTGGTTCGTGACCTGGTGCCAGCAGGCAGCACTGGGGCAGTTAGAGGACCAGTGGCACTGCAGCAGGGGGGAAGGGAGGGAGGGAGGGCAAGAGGATGGACGGAGAGGCTCTGACCCAGGCACCCCCTGAGAGACTCTGAACCAGAACCAGCTTTCCAGTAAACCACTGAGGCCACACTTTCAACCACAACACAAGTGCTGGACACTTGGAGGCCTCCCAGGCCGCCTTCTTTGGCTAGTGACTGCCAGCATCACCTGCAAGCCAAGAGCGCGTCTTCCCCATATTTGTTTGCCAGAGGCTTGTATACAATATTTGTATCAATGGATGAACGGATAACATGCGCTACCAAACTCAGCACTAAATGGTAGAAGAAAAGATCTAGTGCCGACGTTTCCTAGCCAGGAACTAAAACCTGGGAACCGTGGCTCTGGTCTAGCATTTTATCCAAAACAGTCGTTCTATCTTGCAATTCCTTATCATCACTGAATAAATACCGCGCCTACATTTCTGACACAGCGTCTTCAACACCACAGAATTTGGCCAGCTCATCAATCCCTTCTTCTCTGATGACTGTGCTGTCGACATCGAAACAGATGGCATCAGCCGAACAGAAAAGGTTCCTCAGCTCTGAGTGGGAGACCATCCTTGAAAGAACTTTCCTCCTACAACAGAAAAGACACACCTGTTCAGAAACAGAAAACGGGCCCCTAAAAAGGTCCAGTTTTGCCTACTAACTCCAATCTACTAATTCTAGATTTGTATCAAAGTCGATGTCACCCACATAAGCAGGTATTCAGGGACTCGATCCATCTTCAACACGTATGAAGCACCTTCTAAGTGTCATGCTCTCGAGTTACAAAGATGAGTGGGACTCAAGCCCTGCCCTCAGGAGCCTGGTATAGTGAAAGTCATCGTTGTTGTTTTACTTACATCAATTTTGACTCATAGCGACCCTATGTGACAGAGCAGAACTACTCCATAGGGTTTTCTTGGCTGTAAACTTTACAGGAGCAGATCGCCAGGTCTTTCTCCCATGGAGTGGCTGAGTGGGTTTGAACTGCCAACCTTTCAGTTAGTAGCCAAGCACTTAACCGTTGCGCCACCAAGGCTCTTTGTAGCAAAGGTACCAACTTGTCAACATATTTGATGTTGAACTGATATTTAGCTATTTTTGATCTAATAAGTACAGCAGTATGGGAGGTGCTGAAACAGAGAGATGCATAAGATTTTCTGGCACACAGAGGAAATACTTAACCTTGTCTCTGAAAGAGGGCTGCCAGAAGGTATCGGCATTTGAGCTGAATCTTGAAGGGTAAGTTTCCCTCTGAGTGGGTCCTCAGAGGGCGGAGCATCAATCTGGTGTGTGCTAGGAGTAGAGCGAGGCAATGCTGGTTTAGTGGTAGACTTCTCGCCTTCCATGTGGGAGACCTGGGTTCGACTCCCAGCCACTGCACCTCATGCACAACAACCACCTGTCTACCAGTGGAGGCTTGCATGTTGCTATGATGCTGAACAGGTGTCAGTGCAGCTTCCAGACTAAGACAGACTAGGAAGAAAGGTCTTGCTGATCTACTTCTGAAAATCAGCCAAGGAAAACCCTACCGGTCACAACACCGTCCAAAGACCAACCGATCATGGGATGGTGCAGGACTGGGCAGCACTGCATTCCTTTGTGCATGGGGTCACCACAGGTCAGGAGCCAACTGACAGCAGCTAACGACAACTGCTGGCCAGTGCACAAAGAGGACAGACCCAAAGGGAGCTTTGGGCGGGGCTGAGGAGTTTGGATTTTAGCTTCTAGCTGATGAGCAAAGTTGCAATGCTCTAAGTCTCGGAAGAGAAGTCAGGGGCAAACGTACACACTGAAAGTTGAAGACACGGATGATTTAAACGCCAGGAGAGAGGGCTAAAAGAAGAGAGCTGAGGACAAAGCCCAGAGGCTTCTCACCTTCTAGGCGCGGAGCCTGGGAAGGAGAATGAAAAGGAGAGGTCAGAGAACCTGGGAGGCACAGCACCACAGAGGCAGGAGCCCGGGACGGCAGTTTCCAGAGTTTTGGGGTTTTTTCTTTAAAATAAATAAATAAATAAATCACTGCGCTAGAATTGTGGTGGTGAAAGGAATTCTAAAGGTCGTGGAGAGCAGCCTTCCATCAGAGAGACAGACGTCATGTACAAGGCCACGCAGATGACACAAACCACCTATATTTAGAAGAGGCAGCGACTGAAAACAGGCTCAGCGGAGCTGGCTGACTCACTCCCTAACTGATTTCTACCAAATGCCTTTGGCAAAATGATCCAGTTCAAAGCTGACCTGGAAAAAAACAAATCTTTAAAGCTAGGGGTCAGCAAAGTATGGCCTGCAGGCCAGATCAAGCCCACTCACAGCTTTTGTGCTGCCCATGAGGTAAGAATGATTTTTCCATTTTAAATGCGTGAAAAAACTCAAAAGAAGAATATGGCATGAAACGTGAAAATGATATGAATTGAAATGTCAGTGTCCATAAAGTTTTATTGAAACACAGCCACACTCACTTATGTATCCATGGCTGCTTGTCTGTTACAACAGTTGAGTTGTGGGATAGAGACCAACCATATGGCCTGCAAAGCCTAAAATTCTTACTCTCGGGCCCTTCACAGAAAAAAATTGCAGGCCTCTATTTTGAACCCTTGCAAGAGGGTACTCAAAATAGGAAACATGAGTTTCCTTTGCTCATTTTCAATTCTCAAAGTCCCAAAGCAAGTAGACACTGATGGAAGAAGATTATTATACAATTTCATACTGTACTTGCTCAAATGACTTCCTTTAACCTATAGACAAAGGGGAATGGCATCTTATCACTTCTCTAGCATACACTGGCAGGCCCCTGGGTGGCCCAAGAGGTTTGCGATTGGCTGTTAGAACCCACCCAGGGGTGCTGTGGAAGAGAGACCCGGAGATTTGCTTCATGACGTTTATAGCCAAGAAAACCCCAGGGAGCACAGTTCTACCCTGTAACATATGGGGTTGCCATGAGCTGGAACTGACTCGCTAGCAATGAGTTACCATATATTTGCAGAGTCCTTGGGTGGTGCAAAAGGTTAACATGCTCAGCTGCTAACCCAAAGGCTGGAGGTTTGAATCCACCCAGACGCACCTTGGAAGAAAGGCCTGGTGATCTACTTCTGAAAAACCAGCCATTGAAAATCCTGTGGAACACAGTTCTACTCTGACACACCCAAGGGCGCCAAGAATCAGAATCAACTCCGTAGCAACTTTTTTTTTTTTTTTTAAAACCATACATTGGCAAGTTGGGATATGTGATATGTGCCACTATATTGGGTAATATTATAAGTTTTTCTAAAATGCCCACAACAGTGGGATACACTTTGCAATCTGAACCTCCAGTGTCACAGGAGCTTCTGTGTCAATTTCAACACAATACGTACATTATCACTGCTTATATAAGCTTTTGGCATCAGCTTTTCAGGTATGCAGAGAATTCTCAGGGTCTGAAAAATCCTTGGAGAATGATGACTTGGAGACCCACTGAGAGAGAGTAAATTAATGGATCCGATGACAGAATTTTAAACTGTTCACTAGCATTGTCAGCCTAAGTGTGAATGAAGTTTCCATTCAACAGAAAACGATAACAGATGCGTGAATACCAAACATGTATGCTACTGCTTATCTATAACCTGCTCTGATTGTCCCAAAGCCATGTTCTTGTTCAAGCTGACCCCTCAACTCAGGAAGCTGACTTTCCCAGGTCCACACACTGTCCCCTCCTTGAGGCTAAGCTCCTCCACTGCCTTGCCCTTTTCTTCTGCCCTCAACATTGCAGTGTCCATGGTCCATCTGGGCTTCTCCATCCACACTCACTCCCTGGATGAACGCACCCAGGCTCGTGGCTTTAGATGCCATCTCTATGACCAGTTGCTGTCGATTCCAACTCACAGCGACTCATGTGTGCCAGAGTAGAACTGTGTTCCACAGGGTTTTCAATGGCTGATTTTTCAAAAGTAAATCACCAGGCCCTTCTTCTGAGGTACCTCTAGGTGGACTCAAACTTGCAACATTTCAGTTAGCAACTGAGCACGTTAACCCTTTGCATTACCCAGGGGTTTCATCTCTATGACAGTGACTCCCAAAGTTATGTCTGCAGCCCAGTCCTCTCTCCCAAACCCAAATTTCCACTGCATACTTGACCTCCACTTAGATGTCTGATAACCATCCCAAACTTAACATGTTCAAGACCCAGCTCCTGGTCCCCCACACACACCCCAAGAAATGCCCTTCTTGCAGTCTTCCTTTTCTCACTTGATGGCAACTCCATTCTTCAGTCACCCATCATTTCTCTCATTCTCTCGCACCCTACATCCAACCTTTCAGGAAATGCTGTTGGTTCTACCTTTAAAATCTAATCCAAATCTGACCACTTGTCATCAAATCCACTACTGTCGCTCTAGCCCAAGTCACCAATGCTTCTTGCCAAGATTGCAGCAATAGCCTCCCAACAAGTCTCTGCTTCTATGTTTGCCCACCCCACCTGACCCCACCCTGGTGTTTGTTTTCCTCGACATTATAACTAGGGTAAGCATTTTAAACTGTAAGTCAGATTGTGTCATGCCCTTGGCTCAAAACCGTTCAATGGCTCCTCATTTTACTAAAAGACAGAGTTCTTACAAATGCCGACAAGGTCTATCCCCACCCCTGAGCACCACCACCTCCACCCCATTCCACCACTGACCTCATTTCCTCCTCCCTTCCCCCTCACTTACTCTGTCCCAGCCTCGCTGGTCCGCTTGCTACTCCAGGAATCCCCAGGCAGGCTCCCTACTTAGGACCTTTCCTCTCACAGTGCCCTTGGCTTAGAATGTTCTTCATCCAGATATCTGCTTGGCCAACTTCTTCATCTCCAAGAGTGTGCCCAGATATGCCCTTCTTCATGAGCCATCTCTGACCAGTGTGTTCATCACTGCAACCTGCCCTCCCTACCCCTGCCCCCAACATGCCTGATCTCTCTCATCCTGTCATCCTGCCCTGGTTTCTTTCTTCTAACATACCATTACTTACGTCTCTTGTTGTTGTTAGCTGCTGTCAAGTTGGCCCCTGAATCATGGGGGCCCCATGTACAATGGGATCAGACCATTGTGTTCCATAGGGTTTTCACTGGCTGATTTTCAGAAATAGATTGCCAGGTCTTTCTTCCTCGTCCTTCTTAGACTGGAAACTCCACTGAAACCTGTTCAGTATCATAGCAACACAATCGACCATTGACATACCTACAGGTGGTGACTGTGCTTCCGGTGCATTGGCCAGGAATTGAACTCAGGTCTCCTGCACGGAAGGCAAGAATTCTGCCACTGGACCACCACTGCCCCCCTATGTCTATTACTTATTGCCTGTTTGTCCCTAAAACCAAAACCAAACCCACTGCTGTCAAGTCGAACTGCCCCAGAGGGTTTCCAAGGAGCAGATGGTAGATTCAAACTGCCAGCCTTTTTGTTAGCAGCCAAACACTTAACCACTGCACCACCAGGGCTCCTATTTGTCCCCAGTAGGATATAAATTTCATATGAGTAGGGATTTTTATCTGCTTTGTTCACTGCTGAATCCTTAGAGCTAAAAGCAGTACCTGGTACATAGTAGGTGTTCAATAGTATTTGCTGAATTAAATGAAGGAGTGAAGCTCAAATGCCATCTTCCCTATAACATCTTCTCTGATTCCCCTCATCTGGAAGTAGCATATCCCCAGAACTTCCATACTACTTTATGTAAATGTGTTTTTAATATGTGGAATTCATAATATTCCAACTTATAATAAACTTATTTATATGTATGTCATCTCCACTCCTAGATTACAAGCTCATTGATACTAAGCAAAAATTTCCAGGGCACATGTTTTGAGTAGATGCTTAATTAATTTCTGAGGGTTGAGTGAATACACAAAATGACACCATTGTGAAGAGCATAGTTAGCTATCTGTAACTATCTATTTTTGAACATTTTATTATGGAAAATTTCAAATACATACTAAAACAGAGGGAATGAATTACATGAGCCCCATGTAGCCTTCACCCTGTTTCAACAGTCATGGCTAATCTTGCTTCATCAACAGCCCCACACTGCTGCCTACTCTCACTACCTTGAAGCAAATCCTGGGCATCACATCATTCTATCCAACCCACCCTGTAAAATGCTCTGCCTCCTTGTTTTCTTCTGGTTCTCTTTGTTTTCATTGTCTCCACCAGAAGACAGTGACTCACAGTTAATGCAGATTCAAAATGCTCATGGCCATGGACAAAGAATCTGCTGACTTAAGTTCAGGTGATTGAAATTGTGTACATTAGAATTTCACACAAAGAAAAATCGTTGCTGGAGAATGGACTCTGGATCCTTCCCATCTGGCTCTTGAGGGAGGGAGAGGGAAGGGCTGTGGGCAGAAGAGAGCCTGGTGGAAGGGTCTAGACTCAGACAGAGCAGAACCCAGGGCCAGGCCGACCACTGAGCAGAACTCTCACCAGGCCAGCCCCTAGCTGCTCCTTCTTGGGGAAACAAAGGGCCAACTGGTAAATAAGCCACTTCTGACAATCCCATTGTGATGGTCAAAGTTGTGTGTCAACTTGGCTGGGCCATGATTCTCAGTGGTTTGGCAGTTATGTAATGATGTAGTTTGGCAGTTATATAATGATGGAATTTGGCCATTATGTAAGTACGTAGTCATCCTCCATGATGGGATCTGATGTGATCAGCCAATCACTTGTAAGGGGAGTTTCCTTGGGAGTTTGGCCTGCATCCAATATATACATGGACGTTTTGGCAAAGCTTGCTTGCTTGTTCTGGATCCTGCATCCAGCTCATCATCATCTGACCTCTGGTTCCTGGAACTTGAGCCAGTGGCCTCCCATATCGCCTGCCAGTCTTGGGATTTGTCAGCCTCTACAGCCTGCAAGCCAACGGCCTGCCATCTTACCCGCCTATCTTGGATTCATCAGCCCCTGCAGCTACGTGAGTCAGGAGAAGCCTTCAGCTGGACACCTGATCTATGGACTTGGGACTTGCTAGCCTGTACAACCGCATGAGCCATTTTCTATCCATCTATCTATCTGTCTATCTATGTATATATATGCTTCAGTGGTTATGCTTCTCTAGAGAACCCAGCCTAAGACACCCTTCTTATATCAGCTCCAAAAGTAGAAAAATGGGTTTTCCTTCAGGGCCAGCCTTAGGAGGTTTGATTTTGGATAAGAGGAGAAAAATCTCCTGACCCAAACAAACTCTCCCAACTTCTCCATCTAAATATCTTGCAAGAAGACATCTAAGATCACTTGCACTTTACCTTCCCCTGTGCAAGAACAAATTAAAAAAAAAAAGAAGAAGAAACCAAACCCATTGCAACTGAGTTGATTCTGACTCATAAGACCCTATGGGACAGAACAGAACTGCCTCATAAGGTTTCCAAGGAGCAGCTGGTGGATTTGAACTGCAGCCAAGCTCTTAACCACTGTACCACCAAGGCCCCAAGAACAAATAAAAGCTGGTACAAATGGTTAATGCGCTCGGCTGCTAACTGAAAGGTTGGAGGTTCACATCCACCCAGAGGTGCCTTGGAAGAAAAGCCTGGCTACCTACTTCTGAAAAAACAGCTGTTTAAAACTCTATGGAGCATAGTCCTATACTCTGACACTCATGGGGTTGCCATGAGTTGGAATCGTCGACTCCACAGCAACTGTGTGTGTGTGTCTGTGTGTGTGCGTGCGTTTCCAAAGGTCATGGAGATGAAGCAGAGCCGAGAGACAAGGCTTACTGGGTTAGAAGGAAGTCGCCAGCTTTGGTCATAAAGGTGAGCCTGTTTCTGACCCTCTGGACACTGATGTCGCCAGTATATAACAGACTCTGGAAGGATCTTTTTAGAGCCCACAGTTGCAGCATGGTCTCCCTGCAACTGGGACTAGAGTCCCGGCCAATCCATTTGTAACATTTTATAACAAGAGCATCTTTTCCTCGGGAAACCTGAGATTTTATGCATGCAGCATAGGTTACAGCAGACAATTGTTTTTATTCAGGTGACATGTAAACTGTTAATTAACAAACACAGAACAACCAAATACACAATAAACATTAACAACAAGAGACAAATGGGACTCACGTTTCTCCAGTGCTGAATTCCCAGTAGATGAATTCTCTTCCTGCTCTTACCCGGGATAGAAAAGGCAGCATAAAGTTCTGACTACAGATGTCTTTATGAATGACCCTGTAAGTACTCCAAGAGCGAGAAGAGCCTAGAAAGAGTGAGGAAATGAACATCAAGGTCCAAATTCAGGGCAAGAAACAGGGAGACTGGCTGGCTTCCCCTCTCTCCCAGTAAGACCAGTATGAAAAAGGATCAGACGCCAAGTTTTACAACAGCTTCCTCCGGGAAACATTTTCCTTCTGACTCCTGTGAGCACTGTAGAGGATTAAACACTGTTCAGTGACTTTAGTTCTGACAGGAAATCACCTACACCTGATTAAAATTAAAACAAAGTCCAGTCGCCATCCAGTCAATTCTGACTCATGGCAATCCTATGTATTATAAGTAGAAATTGTTCCATAGGGTTTTCTTGGCTGTAATTTTTATGGAGGGAGCCCTGGTGGCACAGTGATTAAGCTCTTGGCTGCTAACCAAAAGATCAGTGAGTGGTTCAAAACCACCAGCTGCTCTGCGGGAGAAAGATGTGGCAATCTGCTTCCGTAAAGGCTACAGCCTTGGAAACTCTATGAGGCAGTTCTACTCTGTCCTGTAGGGTCGCTATGAGTCAAAATTGACTCGACCACAATGGATTTGGTTGGTTTGGAATCTTTACAGAAGCAGTTCGCCCAGACTTTCTTCTGAGGTGCCTCTGGGTGGGTTTGAACCGCCAACCTTTCAGTTTGTAGCTGAGCGCTTAATCATTTGCACCACCCAGGGACATATGATTAGCAGGATACAAAGGAAAGGGAAAAGGAAAGAGGGCTTATGGGGAGAACAAAATGCAAATAATGAGAAGCAGACTCTGCAAACTGGTCCCTGCTGTCTTTCATGAAAATGAGACAACGTCAACAATTTTGAGTTAGAATCCTCCTAATTAAAACTGTAGATTAAGAGAAGTGGGTAAAGGTGCTAAATCTCAGAGAGGAGGAAAAAATAAAAATAAAAAGAAGTGGTGATGAGCATAAGGCAAGAGAAAGCCAACGTCAAAAGGGAAAGAGGCCAGGAAAGAAAGAAATAATTCAGAAGGTTCACTCTTTCTGAATGCAGAGAAAAGGGTTCAACGTCCCCCAACTCATACTCCAACCTGAGCAACAGGCACTAATACTCCCATGCAGGTGGAAGAGCACAAGATGTACTCCAAGGCCTGGACCCAGGGATGCAAGTCTAGCATTATCTTTCTCCACTCTGCTGAGTATGTCAGCTTCTCCGGGTTCTGAAGCCTGCTCCCCCGACAGGCCCAGGAAGCTGCGGCCCAGGGGAGCTTCTGCCCAAGCTGCTGACCTTAGAGTAGACCCAGGATGGCAGGTCAGCAAAAGCAAGATTTTCAATTTGTTTCTTTAGTAGAGTTTTCTCTTTTTCCTTTGAAATCATTTATGTCTTAAAGGGATTTGTTCTCATTATAAAGGCCTGCCCCATTTCTCTTCTTATCTGGAATTCATACATTGCCACTTGACTATTTTTTAAATGTTTAAAATACACCACATGCCAATTGCCATTGAGTCAATTCCAACTCATGGCAATCCCATGCGTGTTAGAGTAGAAGTGTGCTCCCCAGGGTTTTCAATGGCTGATTTTCCAGAAGTAGATCCCCAGGTCTTTCTTCTGAGGTACCTCTGGGTGGACTCAAACCTCCAACCTTTTAGTTAGCAGCCAAGTGTGTTAACTGCTTGCACCACCTAGGGACAAATGTTTAAAAAGCATGTGTTAATCATTTGAAAATTTAACAAACATCTTCTATTTTGTTCCACCAACATGAAAATGCCACGACTGTGATCCTCATGACATTGAAATACTATCTGGCAGTTGTAAAAAAAGGAATGTGGCTTCCATCCTGGGCACGCGCTCTCTCTCGCTCTCTCTTAGTTGCTTGCTCTTAGAGAAGCCAGCCGCCATGTTGTGAGCTTGCCCCACATGGCAAGGAGCTGAGGGAGGCCTCTGGCCAACAGCCAGGGAGGGACTGGAGCCCTTAGTCCGCCAACCTCAAGGAACTGAATCCTACCCCTGAAACTATTGCCCTGAGATATCTTTAAACCTTAAACCAAAAATATCCCCTGAAGTCTTCTAAAAACCAAACAATAGGTTAGCTTAACTAGTAAAAAATATCTGCCTTGAGCATTATGCTCTTTTAAGAACTATCTACTTAAGATCAAACTGACAACAGCAAGTTGAAACACTAAACAGGAACCTTAGGGGGCAGTGAGTTTATGTTAATGGGGGAGGAACAACCCAGAGAAGGTGGGTGAGAGTGGTAGCACAACTCAAAGAATGTAACCAATGTCACTGAATTGTACATGTAGAAACTGTTGAATTGGTGTACGTTTTACTGTGTATATTCCCAACAACAATGGGGAAAAAAAAAAGAAAAGGAACTGAATACTGTCAGCAGTCATGTGAATGAGCTTAGAGGCAGATTTTCCCCTGAACGTTCAGATGAGAGCATAGCCCTGGCCAACAGTAGCGTCGTAAGAGAACCTAGTCTAGAACCACCATCTAACCTAAGCTGCTCCCAGATTACTTATTGATTTGTTTTTTGTTTGCAGATTTTTGACCCACAGTAACTGTGAGAAAATAAATGTTTGTTGTTTTAAGATGTTAAGTTTTGGGGAATGGGCTATGGAGCAATGGATATATACAACCACCTTGAGGTAGGCAAAAAGTTTCTAAACAAGACACAAAAAGCACAAGTAATAAAAAAAATGATAGATTGGATTTCATCAAAGTTAAAACTTCTGCTCTTCAAAAGATACCATAAAAAAAAAGGCAAGCAAAAGACTGAGCAAAAGATTTGAATACACATTTCAAAAGAGAAGACATACAAATAAGCTCATAAAGAGGAAGACTAAAATGGGAAAGACTGACACTACCAAGTGTTGATGAGGACTTGGAACTCATACATTGCTGGTAACGATGTAAAATGGTGCAACCACTTTAGAAAACAGTTGGGCAACTTCATAGAAAGTTAAACACACACTTACCGTAAGACCCAGCAATCCCACTCCTGGAGGTTTATCCAAGAGAAACGAAAACATAGGTCCACAAAAAGCCTGGTACATGAACGTTCATAGCAGCTTTATTCGTGATAGCCCCAAACTAGAAACAACCCAAATATCCATCAACAGATGAGTGGATAAACAAATTGTAGTATATTCTTACAACGGAGTACTACTGAGCAATTAAAAAAATGAGTTAACTGATACATGCAAAAAACACGTATATAAAATTATACTCATCAAAAGAAGTCAGACACAGAAGAGCACACGCTGTATGATCTCATTCATATGAAACTCTTGAAAATGCCAATAAATGGCATAATGACAAAGATCAGGTCAGTGGGGTGGGAGCAGGAGGCAATGACTGGTAAAAGGCCCTAGGGAACTTTTAGGGTGATGAAAATGTTCTATTTTGGTGGTGATTTCAAGGGTGTATACATCTGTCAAAGAGCCCTGGTGGTGCAGTGGTTAAGCACTCGGCTGCTAACCAACATGTAGGCGGTTTGAGTCTACCAGCTACTGGGGGGTGGGGGGGCATCGAGAAACATGTGGCAGTCTGCTTCCTTAAAGATTACAACCTTGGAAACCCTATGAGGCAGTTCTACTCTGTCGTATAGGGTCGCTATGAGTTGGAATCTACTCCAGGGCAATGGTTTTGGTTCTTTAAACATTTGTCAAAACACATCAAAATGTACACTTAAAATATTTGCATTTTATTGCATTTAAGTTATACATCAATAAAACATTGGCTAAAAAAAGTTATAGGGCATGTATCAAATTATTTGAACATTTTCAAAGTCCTGCCTACTTTGTTTCACCAATAAGAAGTCACAGGACTATGATCATTATTACACTGAAATCATACCTGGCAGTTCTAATAAATTATAGAGATCTTGGAATGTATTTTCTTTACTGATCCTCAGTCCAATCCCAGTCAATCAACTATTTAAAGAGTAACTAATAATGTGCAAGTCACATATAAGGAAAATATAGCAAAGACGTTTAATGAATGAAAGAATTATTTAACTCCCAGCTTGAGGGCTGTATCCTTATAACAATGTAACTTGTAAGTAAACCCCAAACCAAACCCATTGCCATCGAGTGGATTCCGACTCATAGCCACCCTGTAGGACACAGTAGTACTGTCCCATAAGCTTGTCAAGGCTGTAAATTTTTACGGAAGAATCTTTCGTCCGCAGAGCAGCTAGTAGGTTCGAACCGCCGACCTTTTAATACTCAAGCACTTAACTACTGTGCCCCGGGGCTCCTTATCTGGTAAGTCAGCCAGAGAGACCCGTTGCGGTCGAGTCGATTCCGACTCACAGCGACCCTACAGGACAGAGTAGAACTGCCTCATAGGGTTTCCAAGGACTAGTGGTGGGTTTGAACTGCCGACCTTTTGGTTAGCAGTCGAACGCTTAACCACTGCACCACCAGGGCTCCTATCTGGTAAATACTTAAAATTCTAATTCTGATAGGAAGGAAGAGGTCAAATTCAGACACTTGAGCTCTACATTTTGGGGATTTTCCTAATCTTGTACTGATTACTCTCCTAGGCAGGATTGCATCATTCATTCATACTGTTTGGTAATAGGGAACCGTGGGATAAGACAAGTGAAACTCCTCAGAAATTAATAAAAAGAAAGTTGAAATGCCATGAAATATTTCACCCATGCAGATCACGAAAAAATAAGTGTAGGATCGGTGAGGCCTCCCCGGATGTGGGAGACAGTAGAGTGAATGAGAAAGTTGGGCGCACAGAGAGATCGGCACATGCCTGGACTTACGCGGGTGCTGCTGCTCCTGCCTGGGCCGCCGCCGCCTCCAGGGCTCCCGCGGCTGTAACTTTCCAGCAGCAGCGGGCGGAGCGCTGGCTCCGACGCTCAATCCCGAGGGAGGTGACTTGTGCAGATGGGCAGAGCCTGCACCAAACAATCGCACGAGATCTGCTGAGTAAGTGAGGCGGCTGCCGCTCGGTTTTGCATGTGCCTTTCTGAACTGGAGACACCAGACCCCGGCTGTACCCAGCCGGGTTCGGAGAACGCCCTTGGCCCCGCCCCGGGCCCCCCTCAGGGGAGGGGCTTCTTGGCCCCGCCCCCGCTGTCTGAAATTTGCACCCTTGCGGAGATGCCTTCCAGCTAGTCAGCTACCGACGTCGTCTGCACTTTGCCGGGGAAGAACAAAAGACCTCCCCGCCCCCGCCACCGCCACCGCTTGAGATAAAGGCACCTGAGAGAAGCAAGGGGCTTCTGCACTTATTTTACAATGAACAAAAGCCAAAGGGGCCTTTTCTGAAATCCACGTTTGGCATTACCCTCTTGG